TGAAGAGCCGTCGAGCCTCATTGCCACTTAATGAACAAACCTTTAGATTTTCATCCTTGGTTAAGAGGAAAGGCCAACCCGCACCTGTTATGGGAAATGGATGATTCAAAGCACCACCAAGACACACTGTACCACAGAGTCACGACGAGAACTATCAAGGATAAGATCTCAAGTCTTAATTAATAATGGGATTTGGTCTCTCAGGCAGCCATTGCTTTGACGTATTGCTCACAATTATTATTCGGTTCTGTCACATAAAGGAAGTGCTGAGTAACCAAACATCATTTCACACATCACTAGCACAGCATTGTGTTTTGCTCATTTGTGATATATGCCATGTATTGTCCCTGAAACGGACCACTTTGGGACTGAAAGGCAAGCTGCGGCACTCAGTCTGCAGAGGACCACCGCTGTGTCCCTAAAAGACAGTGGTTTGTAAAACATCCTGGCTAAATGTGGGGAGTTTGTTGGCACTTCAAACACAGCTGTCAAATGATGGAGAGTTGCACGAGGACAGCAGGAAGAGTTGCTGGTTTCACATGTTCCAGCCGGTGGAATTCTGCCTCCAAGATGATCAAATGTGTGTAGTTTGGTGTTTAATTAAACAGTGTCTAAAATACACGCTTTCTAAAGTGATTACTCCCTATTTATAGGATTTAGTCTTTAGGAAAAAACTTAGTTAATCTATTGACAGCCCTAATTAAAATGTATTGAATAATGTATTCAAGTTGTCAGCAGAAAACACACAACAGTATGAAGCAGAGTACGTTTAATGCTGACACAGGTTACATTTTCTGTGGTTGTCCAATTGAATGAATTCACGAGGAAGTGACACAACAATTCAAGAGTGTGCTGGTTGACCAAATGTTTGAGACATCCATCACTGACAATCTGTCCCGTCTTGTTTAAAGAACCTGGCAGGGTTGGTTAGTTTGTGTAAGAGTCAGAATCCTCTCTTTTGTTTCTACTAACACAAAAAAATGCTAGTAACGCACTTACGATTTTGTATAGGCAGACTATGCCAGGCACTGCCTTGTCGTATTATATTACAGTTTATTATCTTGCCGGATTATAGTTTCAGATCATCCGTCTGCCCATTCTTGTGAATGTGACTACTCGAGAATTTCTTTTGGCACAAATATCTATTTGGACTCAAGGCTGAACTGATTGTAATTTGGAGGTCACTGTGATCTCATGACGCATATGTCTAGAATTCAAAAAATCCTGCGCTAATTACGCACATTTTACGGCAACACCTTATAGGATTAAATCATGTGGTTGTTTGCATATATATTCAAACACCATGAACAGAATGTCAATATGGTCTATAATATGGATATACAATATGGATCTAATACTGTACCTGGTGGTGTAGTAGGACTGCAACTGTATTTTTTGTCAATGCAGCTGTGTGACATTTGGGGTTTATGTGTGCGTAAGCCCCATGGCTTATCTATGCTGCACGCGCGCTCATGTGCTGAACCAGCAGCGGGCAGAAGCCACTGCAGCCATTTCAGATGGGTCTTGTACTGTCAGCATCCATTAAGATGACAAGGGAGCCTGTATATTGGTCGCGGGGTCTGCTGCCATGTGTCATCTGTTTCTTTAGGGCCCATCTGAGGACACAAGGGGGACAGGATCTGATTCAGCTCGGGGCACTAAAAAGGCAGACCAGGCCGAGCGGGCTCATTGTAATGTGAAATAAAAGCGTCGGGAGCCTTGTTGGTACAGAGGAGCCGGGGCCACATTGTTGCTGTCCTCCCTCTTCACGTCTGGTCCCGAACGAGGCTGCCCCCCCCTAGTTAAATAAGCATGGGCCTCGCTTAACGACCATTGCTACTATGCACAGTCTGCCTTAGTGGATTGTCATGGTGAAGAGATGTGTGCCGTTCTGTGTATGGAATGAATTGCACAGAGTAGAGAATACTCTCCGTGACCAATAACACCACCACTGAGGAGTGCGATCCACGTCCCGGTTTCATGGGACCGGGGTTTGGCACATAGTCTTTTAGCTATATCTTATTCATGATAGTCTTAACGACAATAATGAATGTCTATTGAAATGTGTGTGAGGGAATACGAGCTTTATAAAATGTCTTCTTTGCCTGAGGTTTGATTTGGTAAAGCCTTGGAGGACCTTTGAATATATCACTAGTGACAGAGATTTAGACTGCCGTATGGCTGCAGCAGATGCCTTTCGGCCGTGCTTGATCAATACCACTGACCATCTGATCAGCCGGTTGAAGTACAGCCACTTTTTGTGCAAAGCATTAACAAAAACAAAAGAGCTGTTTATTTCGAGCCCAACCGTTTAATGAGAAGTGCTGCATAAGATGAAGTCGCCGGACTTGACAAGGTGACACTCTGCCAGACAAAACAATTGGATTATGAGCTTAAAGGCACAGGAAAGATCAGTGACGGTGACATATGCAGGGGCAGGACATCTCCGTCTTCATTTAGATGGTGTTAATGATCTTTTTTTCCATAAGCGTCTGCTATATTGTCATGCATGGCTCGCATACAGTAACTAAGCCTGAAACTTGAATGATTCATTTATTGCTTGAGTTGTTATATATATAGTGGGAGTGAATCATATTCAAATATTTGAATGTTGAAATTGTCTTTCGTTCCTCTTGTGTGTGTGTGTGTGTGTGTGTGTGTGTCCATACATATTTACCCCTCTCTTGTCACTCCCATACGTTCTTTCTCTCTTCTCCACACTGGTGGGAGAATCCCGCACTGCTCAGCCTCTTGTCACTTCTAGTCAGTGTCATCTCTCTGCCTTCTACCCCACAGGTCCAGCTTTAAGTCCCGTCCCTTGTTTTCCACCGTACAGTCATCTTATTACATCACGCACCCGGAAAATCATTCAAGATACAGGCGTGTGCGTGCAGAAACGGTGTCGCAATAATTCAGTCTTTTGACTGTGGCCTGTGGGTAACAATCGTCAGTCAAGCGCTGCCCCAGCGTGCTTCACTTAGTAGGGTTCAGGTAGGGGGCGAGACAAGAACAGTCCTCTTTGTTTGTGGGCTCTGTGTGCATTTCAATAAGGAGTGTGTGTGTGTGTGTGCAGGACCGAGAGGTCAGATTTCAACATGTTGTTGCTAATGAATCAAATAAATCCCTCTCGCTTTTGACATTGTGGAAGATAAAGAAATATATTTCTGCATTTTGATCACCGAGCCACATCCGCCTCATGTAGAACTGGGAACAGATACGATTGTTTGGAAATGAAAAGTTGAAATTGGCAATTTTCAAATCACTCAGAAGGTGTTATGTGTCACAGAGGGGATTTGAGGCTCATTTCTTCTTCTTTGTAAGTAAGTTTCGTCCTCTCTAACCGGGATCTGCACTCTTGTCAGCTTGTGGGTGTGTTTTAATGCATCGGGACATGGCGGGCGTTGGGATGATCCCCAGGAGTCTGGCTCGTGCCGAGCGATTAAATGATTGGGATAATGATCTAAAAGGGAAAATGTATTTTTTTTTGATAAACAGAGGAACTACACTGCTCTCTGGAGTGTTACTCCAATAACAGTGGCAGCTTAACGCTCAATTAAATTCTAAGTATTCAGTTACACAACAGCTATTTACAAAAACAGCTAAAGTAAACCAAGCATTTCCTGCTTCTGATTGGCGTGACAAGCTCGCTACACAGTGAAAACATGAAACACATTTGTCATGAGATTTGGGCTTTGTGGGTTACTATTGCTCAAGATGCAATAGGAACCCAATGCAATGCAAAGTTTGAATATTGCAAAAGTATTTTTTTTAACTATATGTGATGATAATAAGGACGTTCAACCATTCAGCGTCTCGCTCCCAAACATTTTCTTTGGTATGAATAAAGGTCTTATCTTATCTCCTTCGCCCACCGATTTAATCAGGGTCGCCCGTAGCGCGAGATGAAGAAGAAGGAAATGCGAGCGGGCAGGTTTCTCTCCCGCATGCTCCCCGCTCGCTGCTGTTGAGCTTCACATATCTGCGACAGAGAGAGTAGGTAGGGGAGAGGAGAGGAGGGCAGCGGAGGGTAAAAGAAGCAGCAGCGTGGGGGGCAGGGCTTAGTAGAGCCTTTTTTTTTTAACAATGCAAAGGGTCATTTCTGGGCCCCCGCAGGGAACACTTAACAGTAGGTGTGAAAGGTAGGCTGGTCTTAATGTGTATAGAGTGGCCAAACTTCCTCAGAGGTCACAAAAGGAAGCTGAGAGTTGGTTTTTGTGTGTGTGTGTGTCTGTGTGTGGGGGGGGGATGGGGAGTGAAAGCAGCTCACTGTGAATGTAATTGACCATGGTGATGGACATTGCTACGGATAGCAGGGCGAGGATTTTACCGTCTAGCGTTTTGGTGAGTGAGGCCTTTTTGCAAGAAAAACAGGAGAGGTGCTGCGAGTTTGTATGTGTGCGTGTGTGTGTGTGTGTGTGTGTGTGTGCGCGTGTGTGTATGGGCGCGTAACCACTTTTCTGTGTACTAAAGCCCCTCTGTGTATCTTCTGAGTGTCATGATGCAGCGCTCGGAGCTAGAGAGCTGTGCAAGTAATGGCCTCGCTCACGCTACCTAATTAGCCAAATGCTGATTTCTCCTGGACTCCCATAGGAGCAGAGCCACCGAGGCTAAATATCACCCTCTGAAGTGGTGCTTATCTCTCTGTGTGGGCTGCAGAAACAGCCATATAGCGCGTGCGCCTGTTCGAATGCGTATGGCCTCTTTTTTTTAACCTACTTGTGAGCTTACATTTATACTTGGATTTAGCTTGTTTGAGGCGCCGTAACCTATTTTGTGTCATCATTAAGCTACACGCCGTGACGAAGCAGAACGGTTAGTAGGAGACGCCTGTCAAACCGTCATCCCCCGCCTCCCTCCTATTGACTTTACATTTGTCCTTTTCGAAGCTCTCTCTGACGACAATGTCCCTTGCCTTGTGTGTGTGTGTGTGTGTGTGTGTGTGTGTGTGTGTGTGTGTGTGTGTGTGTGTGTGTGTGCGTGTGCGTGGATTATATGCACAGGAGCTCCAGTTTGAACGGCTAACCAGGGAACTGGAAGTGGAAAGGCAGATTGTGGCCAATCAGCTCGAAAGATGCAGAGTTGGGGCCGAGTCGCCAGACGCCCAAAGCAGCAGGTAATGAGAAGATGGACGCACGAACACACACACACACACAGAGCAACAAACCCACACATGGCATTTTCATCCTGCACAGCAATGACCAGCAATGTCCGTAGCGCAACCTTACGGCACAGTGATGAGGCATCCCAGTTTGTTCAAACATGATTGAGCTGTAAATGTGAATATTTCCCCCTTGTGTGATATTTTGCTTATCAGACCGTTAGAAAATTTCAGTCTACAGGATTGTGTCCAGGCTAATTTACTGAAATCACTTTTATGTTAAGCCGAACGGCTGTTATGTCCGGCAAAATGTTAAGCCGGCGTTTATCGGCGACAGAGCGGGAACGTGCACCACGGCGGCGTGCGGTTTGCTCAGTGAAGCGCTGCCGTGAGCGTGCGAGCAGTGGGGGAGCTTCTCGGTTTGTTCTGGAAACTCATTCCCGTGTCATCAGCTGATAGACTGCAAGGCTTCGGCATCACACCTCAGTGACCACCCACATTCTGCCCCGCGTGCTGCGACGCGTTTGTGCAGCTCAACACCACCTTCAGTAGCCCAACGGGCTTCATGCTACTGCTAGAAAAGTGTGTTATAGTGTGTTGTATCGTCACATGGCGTGAGCGTTTTCCTCTCCTTTGACAAGGAAGTAGAAGATGAGAGGACACACTGATGCGATGGGCATTGGTCAATATCAGTCGTACTAATGAATACTAGTAGTTGTCCTAAAAGGACTGCATTGCTGAAAAAACACTGCAGGATAAAACATTAGGGTTGAATATTTAGCTACACATAATCTGTAATAATATATAGGTCGTAGCAACATGGTTTGAAATGTTGCATCATGCTTATTTCGTAACTTGAATTCATGCATCGATGCTTTCAGTTGCACCTAATTAAACAAATAATATATGGGCCGTCTCTTAGGTCTAGTTAAAATGTAATCCGTGGGAGTGGCAAGGAAAATTACAATTGAGGTTAATAGACTGTGACATTTAAGAGATTGCTTAATGGTCAGATTTTTCTGGCGCAGTTAATCATTTTTTCTTGCTTTTGCCTATTTGCTGCCAGTGGGTCCACAGCATTCAATATCAAAACATAGTGCTTGGTTGTGTGGATATTTTACTAATGAAACTATACGGCGGCGTGATTACATGTAACAACGTCTCTCAATCCATATTTGAAGATGGTCACGATCACATACGTTTTTCCACGTCTCCACTGAGGAATTCCACACTCAGTTCTTTCAACATTTTTTCACCTCATAAACCATCATCACACTGGATGGTTTGAGATATGGAGCCTTCTTTCATGCTCAAGAGTAGCACTGTTAAAGGGCGATAATTACTTTGGTGACATGATGGCGTGATGATTACCCAAACTGCATTCAGCTCCTGATGAGCACACGGGTCATCCCATCAGCTCGGGTTTATCAGTTGCTTCTTTCTCTCTTGTGCCCTGCTGTATTTATTATGTACACAGTTTTTTTTTTTTTTAAATGTGCCCTAGAACCCAATGGTGCCATGCCAGGCGTTATTTGCATATTTCTCACACGGCCCCATGATGCCAGGTCTGAGACAAATTCGTTCTCAAATGCGCCGTGATGGTGATATATCTGGACACATGACACTTGGTGTGAAGAGGAGCTGCTATGGCTCTCGTTCCGATCCCTTCTGGCTTTTAGATTTTAAAAAAGCCCCATGCCCTTACGCGGTGCATCCTTGTACTCTAGCGTGCATACCTGCAAAACACCCACCTACTGGCGGCAGATTGCAGCACTCAGGACCGAGAGTGTCAATTTCCCCTTTCTTCTCTTTTCGAGAGCGTGCAGGTATGGAGCCGCTTCAAGTGCTGCCAAAAAGGTCCGAGACAACAGCTGTCTGAAAATACACTCAGCCGGGCTATTAACTTCCATCTCCTCTTTAAGGAGTTCTGTGTGTTAGAGCCCAGATTGAGTGAACATCCAACCTGTGTCAGGGATCACGTTTGGAGACACAAGCGACACGACGGCTCTCGGTTGTCCCGAAGTCACTCGCTCGTCATGCGACATTTAACAAACGGAGTGGCAGCCCAAGACACACTTCAGAATAAAAGCCCGAGGAGGAGGCCATCTTTGTTTCCACAGTATAGAATGAACGGCTCTAATATGAAAGGCTGCTGTGCCAGTCACTGTGAAAATCAGCTGCCGAGTTTGTTTTGTTGAAGGATTTACTCATTGTTATCGTTCCATTTGTGGCGACAAAAATCCATCCCGTTCCAGCTGCGCTTTAATGTTGCGTGACCCGTCACTGTGTTTTTGTGTGGGACAATTGCATTTTGCGTGATTTTATTCCTGGTTTAGTTCATGGGACTGTTCAGTCAAAAATGAGCCATAGTTGCAATTTTAGTGATCGGAGTGTTTTGCAATATTTGGTTTTGACACTGTTTTTTCTTTCTTTCACATCCGATGTATTTACTGTTTTTGGTAAAGTAGAAAGGTCATTACAGCTTCTTTTACACGTACACTTTGGGAGTACTTTCCTTTCCCTTGGCTTCACTGTGGCGTCAGAGACGCACATGCTTTTGCTGTTTGGGGTCTTTTGCACGCATGGTTGCGTTAAACCATGTTTAAATAATCGGGCGTCTTCAGTGTAAATCTATTGTTGTCATGCGGGTTTTTCATAATAAAGAGACAATTTTCTGGGAAATCCGATTTCTGACAAAAGATACCTTTTAAAAAGCAGAAACTTTTCCCTCTGTTTGAGGCAACACAAAAAAACCTTTTCAAATTTCCGAGATCAAAGGGCTGCCGTTGGACATTTGTGTGTGAATGGAGTTCAGCTTCCACCATTGACTTCACACTCCTTGCCTCAAAGAGGTGATGGTGCACTCAAGGGTTGTAATGGGAGTCGTTCCTCTTCACAACACCTCCGGAGTCGAACCGCTCCCTTCATTACCACAAACATACAGGGCGTGCTCATCAAACGTGACCTCGAGAAAAGCCAACCCCACCCTGCCAAGGGGGTTTATGGGTAATAAAGTGTCCTGTCAGGTTTAGGCCCGCAGTTTATTGGCAGTTTTACAATCCCTCTCTCTCTCTCTCTCTCTCTCTCCGCCTCCATCCAGCCGGCCGGTCGGCATGCGTCGCCGTTGTGGTCGCCGTTCATCTTCTTCATCGGCCGTGGTTCAGTGGAGCACAGCTCCCCCAACTTCTTCCTTTTAATTGCCTGCGGGCTCATTAAAATCGAGAAGAGACGTGCTTCTTAAATCTTGCGGAGTATCACCTGAGATGTAAAAATCGTAGCAGACGCAACAACTGGTAATTCCTACTGTCTGGTGTGGATCCCTTCCAATAATCTCCACTTTCCCCAATAGATTGAGCAGATTTTGACCATAGTGTTCTGGGAATTTGCTCCGATGCTTTCCTGCTGTGATTTTGCAATTAAGACTGGTCCCTCGTCTACTCGCCGAGGCCGATTCCTCATTGATCACCCGCACACTGTCACCAGATGCTCTCTGTTTTTTGCTGCGTGGCGTCCTCAGTGGCTGAGATCATTTGAGGACTGAAATCGCTCTCCGGCACCATTATTCTGCCACATTATTCTCTGGAGACTGAGTAGCTCCCCCAACTTCTCTCTGTGCTGGAATATTCACTGACACGCGTGTCCAGGTTACTTCTGGATGTCAGGCTACTGTGAGCTTGTGCATTTGATGTGTGAATAAACTGTAAGATGTTTCTTTCTGGGAGCTATCCTCTCTTGTCAATGCTCAACTTCAGCTCCCATCAGGATGTAGCTCATCCCAATGGCGTTTTGTGCTTTTTGGCTTTGTTTGTTGCTGCTGCAAGTGGAAAAAAACAGCTTCCACTCCCACAGTTCTCGAATGTCTCGTATGGCCGATGGGTCCTCAAAACCCCTTTTGGTCGTAGATAAACACAGATGACAGAAATGGACTTTATATCTGAGTTGTAAACATAGAATCTGCTCTCAGGCTGTATACTCTTATTCTCCCGGCTGTTCATCTCCAACAGGGATTTCCATCTGTGACCCTGTTGAGAAAGGCCCAAGGAAAAAGCACATGAGGCTGAAAGGTGTCTCTTCCAGATGGTTTGACACATGTCTTTCACGGTGGTGCGTCTGGTCTGTATTCACTGTTCCGTCTCCTGTTGTCTCCCATGCAGCTCGTCTGAGAAGTCCCTGCCTTGGAGAACTGCAGGTAAGTCCAATGAGCTATATAAACATTTCATATTTCATACCTCACATGTGCGTCCCTCCGTTTCTTCTGATCTGAATATCATATAGCTCTTATCTGATCTTACGCTTATTGCTGTGGATTTTATTCAAAACTAAAAGACAGATTTATTTAGCTGTCTTCTCTAAATGTTTGAAGCAACTTTCATTAATTCCTGTTGCTGTTTAACTCTAACTGCACACGTCAGTGATCAATAACCATCGTTAAAAACCCATCTGCGTGAAACTGGCTTATGAGGTCCACACAAAGTGATAGTGGAATAGACAGTTCTGTTCGGTATCTCATTTAAACAGTAAATGGGGAGATATAAGTAAAGCTTAACCGTTGAGCTGTTGACTTTGAATGATTTAATATCTTTTCGTATGGGGTCTGTAGTGTAGTTGGGCCATGTTTCTTACATTTCCTCAACAATCATCGGCAACATGAGGCATCTCAACCAAGCTCACATTAATAAACAGCCTAAGGCGCATTCTTGTTTTAATATTTATCGAAGCCTTGCATGCCCACTCACACACGACCAAATAAATAGCACCATCGGTGATGTGGAGCGGAAGGAAGTCTCTCAGTCCCCTTCGGTTTGTTTAGTCCACATCCTTGAAGGATCTTCACCAGAGACTTGATAATGAATTGAATGAACCAACGTATTTCAACGGCTTATTTATTGCATAGTGGAACTTTTTTTTTTCGCTGGTCATTAATCTTTTATTGTCAATCCTGTCAGAAAAGCCTAAAGGGTTATGGTTTTACACATGCAGTGGGAATAGTAATTCTACATGTTTTTTGCTGCCCGTTCCTCATTTCCTTGCTGAATGCATTTCATTGATGTTTGAACGGTGCCGGGGACTAATCACAATCACTGTTTTGCTTCGCATTGATTTCTCATTGTTGGGTAGATGATATATGACAGTCAGAAGCGGCGCGGTACATTTTCCAATCTAAATGAATTAAAGTGTGAGCGCGGCGCACACAGCGTAATGGGCCATGTTTGTCCACGAGGCTTATTGGCAACACAAGCTACTGTACGTCTCCGCTGCCTCAAGCGCTTTGGATAGAGGTGTTATAGTGGAAGCAGCCTTTTAAACCAACGCAGTCACACCTCATGTTCACTGAGAGGGGAGAACTCCCCAGAGTGAAAGCTTTCTATCCGTCCCCCCCGTCTTCTTTTCTTTCAGATATGCATTCTTTAAATATGCCAACAGCTGACAGCCTGGAGGTCTCAAAAATGGGAAGGACCTTTGAACCCCTACAGGGGGGTATGCCCCCCTCCCCTCCCCCCTCTACACCCCAGACAAATTACACTGTCAGAGACTAGAGTTTCCGGCGTCCTTGGGATTTTTTAATAATAGTAATACCCAAATAACAAGTAATTTATGGTGTTGTGTTACCGTATTTCCCTGTCGGATACTTGGAGGTGCACAGCGGCCCATACGAGTACCAATGAGTTAAAACATTTTGCCGTTTTACCTGATTTTCCATTGTTAAATCTTGTTAATGGCTGACATTTTGCAAGAAAGAAGCAAGATTGGCAATGGTCATTTTTGAAAAACCCCTCTATCATTAAACGTCGGGCATTTGTATCAGAGGCCTTTCCAAGAACGGTATCAGAACAACTCTAATTTATACTTATATACTTTTAAATGATATAAGCAGAAAACTCAAATAAAAAGTACACAATCACTCCTATTGATATGTGATTCCAAATCTTTGGAAGTCAATATCCCATCATGATTAGGTTAAAGAATTTTTTTTTGAACTCTGTGTCCATGCTATGGCTTAAAACGGCCACATTGACAACATTAGATTGTAGCAAACGAGAGGCCAACTTGTGAATGCCCCAAAGCCTGCCATCTGTGGATAATGGAAGTCACTATTCTTCAACCGCTATCTCTTTCTTCCCGTCCATCTTTCTTGTTGGCTCCCTCTCTTTCTTCTATGTTCTGTTTTGGCCTCATTTATCAAATAGGGTCAAGGCTCAGTATAAAAAAAACATGGTCAGAAACAGCACACTGTGTGCCAGACACAGAGTCTCCACTGGGAAAGAAAAGGACCCGTTGCTGGTTTAGCCATGTTACTACTTTTGTTTAAAGGACAAGAAACTACTTCCTGACCTGATGATACCTAGAATCTTACATTCTGTTATGACACGGCCCGCCTTAATGCCTTAGCATTAGGTTCAGAAAAGTTGATTAGCACTTAGCTGCATCCTCTGCCCGCGAAAAATGTGTATTCTGACCCACTTCAGACCCACCTGTAGATCTGTAAAACACCCGTAGAGCCTCAGCTTAGGCAACGAGGCGGCTCCACCACGGGATTCAACTGTCATTCTCACACCCGCTAATCGGGCCGGATTTGAAACACCCTGGCTGCCAATGTTTGTCTCTCTGCCCCCCCTCCCCTCCCTCCCCCCGCCTGCCGGCTTTTGTTGCAGTGATTGCAGTGTGACTCGTTGAGTTACAGGGCAACTGTGTGCACGCCGGCATTAGAGGGCTGATTCCAGTTCCTGTTTACCACACCGAGGGGAACGAGGGAGCGGCAAAAACTATTCAGATTTAATGACATCGCTGTACACAAGCGCAAAACTAATGTTGCGCAAACCGTTGTTGTTGTTGTTTTCTCTCATCGACTGTTCACCGCCTTAATGGCTGTTTCATCTTTGCATCCAGAGCCAAAACGCTTATTGCTTCAGACTCCGGGGCTTTCCTCTTGGTCTGACTCCGTGCTCCGCCGTGTCTTCCCAGATGCCTCAACCGCAGGGGACACCAAGTCTCGGTTGATTGACAGCTCCCGGTCGCCCAGCTACCGCATCAGGACCGAGTCGGAGCAGGTGGCCCTGTACTCACCGGAGCACTCCTCCCTCCATGAAAGTGAGGGTCTGTTGTTACTTTCTCTCTATCTTCTGCAGTTTTATTTCCTCTTAGCCCCATTTACAATTCCCTGCCTCAGCATGGTACCGCTAAATGTAGACGGCAATCATTTGACTACCAAGTGTGTCGTCACTTCTCCTGTGATGATACAGATAGTCAGTTTCACCCTGCAGCTTTGTCCCCGCTTTATGCTTTTGTCATTTATGACATCTCACCTTATGAAAGGCTGAATGTACTATGGCACACTAAATAATAGTGGTTGCGGAGTACTACCACCTCTCCCGAGACCCCCCCCGCTGTGCCATTTGTCTTAGCAATGCTGTCTAGGCAAAGGTCATTTTCTTTTATGAAGCCACGTCTGCCTCCCGCTCCTCTCACCCGTCCTTTTTTTCTCTTTTTCCGTCACGCTTCCTCAGGGTCCGGGGGAAATTCGCGAAGCTCAACTCAGATGAACTCGTACTCGGACAGCGGCTACCAGGATGCCGGCAGCGGCTACGTCAGCAGCCAGAACCTGGGCAAGGCGGAGCTCAGGATGCAGCACTCCTTCCCTGGCACCGGCACCGGCACCCTGGGGAGGAATACCAGGGCCGAGGGCCAGGCTTCAGCCCAGGTACTGCCAGCAATCAACATATTGTTTTTAACCTACTGCCTTTTGAGTCACCTCACTACGCATTCACTTTATTTTCTCCGTTCAAGAGCCACTGCTTAAGTGACGTAATAGACTATTAGCTTTTGTCGCCTAACAAACAAACAAGCAAACAGCAGAGGAGGTAGTGATGTAATGTCTAAAGGCACAGAAGGGCACACAGTGCACTGCGACATAATCATGCAGCGCTGTACACACAGACCACTGTGAAACCAAATGGCGTTGTCACACACAACCCGAGGGAGGGGGGATGGAAAAATAAACATGGCCCGGCGTAACGTCTTCCCCCCGTAATGAATTGTTGCCTGTAATGCTGTGTCTTGTTTCGGACGGCAGATAGGACAACATGCTTGTTGGTGAATCTGTATCTCCTGAACGCGCCACGCCGCCTTTTTATTTCATTTTTGAAATCGCTCTGGATCCGCAGGGTCCGGCGGTAACGACAGCCACGTCGGGCCGCACCATGCGGAGGGTGAGCTCAGTGCCTTCTCGCTCCCACTCGCCGGCCTACGCCAGCAGCCTGTCCCCCTCCCGCGGCTCCCTGCGCACCTCTGTCGGCAGTGCCTACGGCTCCCCCGTGGTGACCGAACCGAAGCCCCTCTCCAGCATCTTCTCCACGACGCTGCCCTCCGCCCAGCGCACCGGCAACAACAACAACGGCGGCGGCGGCAGCTCGCCCTACTCCACGCAGAAGAACTCCCCCGCCGCCCTGCGCCGCGTGGGCTCCGCGCACTCTCGGTCGGGAGGCGCCGGCCGGACGACCTCGCCTTACCAGGCCTCGGCGGGGTCGTCGCCGTCGGGCCGCGTGGGCTCGCCTCTGACGATGGCGGAGGGAGTGAACCCGCCGCTGACGAAGCAGCCGAGCCACTCGTCGTCGTCCCCGGTGAGGTCCACGATGACCGCCGTGCCGCAGCACCTCAGCTCCACGCTGCCCCGCTCCATGCTCCACGCCGACCCCTATGGACCCCAGAGCTATGACATTTACGAGAGGATGACGCGGCCCGACAGCCTCACAGGTGCTCAAAATCATACGCACGCACACGCACGCACACAAAAAACTCAATCTCATAACAGGAGACAATGACTGTATGCTTCCCGTAAATTCTTCTACACGGCTCAGGTAGAGGGGCTGTATGTATTTGGTCAGTGGGACATTTCTTGTTGACTTATTGTTTGTTCTGCGCTCAGCCCAATTAATCTGATAATGAACAGTGAGGTCAGGGATTGTACGAGTGCAAAGCCAAAACAAAGTTCCTAGAATAATCGACTCCTAATCAGTTAGTTTTGCTCTTATCAATATAACAGGAAACCAAATAGTTGCCTTTATGTTGTAGACCCACAAAGATAACATGGGCCCAGTCAGTATTCTTTTCAATAATGTTTGTTGGAAGATTTCAAATGAATATTCTAAAACTTTGGAAAACACTTTAATGTTAAACAACATTTAACATTTTAGTGAAAGCTAGATTTTCAATCACCACCACCAGTGGATTTTAAGTAAACAAGACGGCATAAATCTGCAGGTCGTATTAGTCATCTAATCTTGTATCTATGTAAAAACCAGAGGAGGTAGAGGAAGACCTTTCCAGAACCCATGATGGAGTTCTGTGGGAATCTATTGTTTTGACGAGTGCATTATCACGTCTGTGTCCTCACCAAGGACAACATGAGGCAGCTGTTTGACCGCGTGTGTGTCTTTGTGTGATTGAATCGGAACACTTGAGGAGATCAGGAAGATAATAATTGGGAAACCTGCCTGTCCTTTCAGGACACACGCTGACTAACGGTTTCTATCTAAACACACATCCTGTTCAAATCTGCAGCTAATTGATCCCCACAGCCAACGCAAGTCTGTCGGTGCTGATTGATTCTCAGCTCTCACTTCTTCAGGTATCTCCTGCAGATAAGGATGTCAAAATGAAATAATCAACAAATTAACAGAATGATGAGAACCCGAGTTATTCCACGGCAAAATCAGACATTTATTCACGTTTCAGTGTCATATTGTTGTATTTTCAGCTGGAAAATCTTTTTCCACCAAAAGGTAAAAGAAGCGCTGTGTGTGATGTTTCTGAGGTTAATAGACTGTTTTCTGCTTGACTTCACGCCGCCTGGGGATTTTCTCAGATGACCTGCTTGATGATGACGTCCAAGGTGATCATTTCTGGGGGGGTTTTATGGGCACATCGTTTTCCCGTCATCCTCACTGTACCGTGTTTGCATGCGCACCCTTTTTATTTGTTCTCCGTTAAATAATCGTCTTCAACCGTGTTTTTGATCATCTCTTTGCCATGTTTATTGCATCATCACCTGTAACATCACCTGGTAGTCTAAATAAATTGAAATTAGGATGGATTGATAATTAATCGCAGCATACACAATAGCTACATGCAGTCCCAATCTTTAGTTTGACTCAAACATTGACAAACGTGACAAAAATAGTTAATATATATATATTTCAGTCGATGAGGTTTATTGTGTTTCCAAGGCTTACCTGGTCCATGGCGCCTGTAACAGATCGCAATCTGCTCCTAATCCAAAGCATCTTTAAATCACAGGGCGCAGTGCGACCCTTTCATGACAGAATTAACCTTCCGTATAACGTTAGTTTTCGCGTGCAGGCTCTCACGTGAGCCGCTCTGAGAGACGTTGTCTCGAGCAGATGCGCATTGGGTTTTACGTCTTTGCCGCCGTTGATCTCCTCCCTTTCTCCCTCTGGTCTCTCTATTCTCCCTCCTGTCTTCCTCCCCTCCCCCCCCTCCGTCTTTCCCTTCACTCTCTTCACTTTCTCTCACATGCACAACAGTGGAGCCAAACCCTGTGACACGGTAATTTGTCACAAGTGTGTGATGAGCCACAGTGGATGGAAATGGGATGTTCATGGATTGCAAGCACTTGGCAAACGCCTTCCGACAGCCGAACCCTGATATTGTTGCTGTTGGTGGTTTTCTGTCAGTGTCTATCAGAAGATGCCTTGTCTCCTTTCCTCTTCTCTCCTTTGCTTTGTCACGCATTTTGTGATTTTTATTTCTTTCCTCTTTGGGCAGTCCCCCTTCCCGGCATCCTATCTGCCGCTGTGCTTCACTGTCAGTGGCAGGAAGCCACGTCCTCCCCTCTGCTGCACAAAAAACAACAGAAAATTAAGACAAATTGTTCTTAACAATGTTAGGTTTGATGTCCAGTTCAGAGGAAGCGGCATGCCTGCACGTGTGCGTTGTCAACCTGACAGCAAGCCACCGTGGTAGTTTCAACCGTTTATCTTTACCCTTTAAAGAATCACCAATATCATCATTTTATTTCTCCCCGGTAATCCGGAGAGGGATTTTGAAAATGATTCTTGTCGTGGAATGCAGCCAGCTGCATCCATTCAAGCGTTTGTTTCTCCGAAGCGAGCACGCGCCGAGCCCGCCGCCGCCGCCCCGCATCTACCCTCTGCCAAGTGCGATCTGTTAAAGCCGCGGCGAAAGGGCCGAGGTGGGGAGAACTACTAAAGGACTATAACGCACCAGGAAATTTGGGCCATTCATCCTCAATAGACAGCAGTGTGTTGTTATTTCTCCATGACAATTGTCAGATGCTTTCCAGAAGTCACCGCGCCCCCCCCCCCCCCGGGAACAAAAAAAAAAAAGGGGGGGGGGAATAATCTCCTCTAAAGGTGTTTGGATGGTGCTACCTTCAAGGATCAAGGTGCTGAATGGGAGAGATATGCTGCCGAAGCTCCTGTGGCCGGGAGAATCCGTCCCTGTCACTCGGTCACCGCCTGGCTTTGCGTGGGATGAGAAGTCTCTGGTGGTCCTAGACGGCCTCATTAACCCGCTTTTCATTTCCATCCTTTCTCCCCCCCCCCCTCGCAAATTCCCTCCCGCTTTCTTGTCTGTTGCTACCACCCTTTCTATAAGTCTTCCCACTACCTCCTCTCTCTTCATACCCTCACCCCGCTTTAAGCCTGATTTGCTGCCAGGCTGCAGCGAGTGGCTATTGTGTGTTCTGCCACAGAGTGAAAGGCTTCCCGGGCTATTGAGGATGCCGCCACAGCACTCGGCAGCGGCATCAATCAGTTTTACTCCCCTCACCCTTCACAGCGACATCCGTGCCATCTCACAGCATTTGTTTCTATGTCATTTGTGGCTAAGTTGAAGCCACGGTACCTACAATTTAGATAATAAGTAGAATGAATTGATCAGCCTTATATTGTGAACCTACTGCGTATTTTCCAGCTGGCAAAAAGCCAGGAGGGAGGACACTTAAAGCTGGAGTGCCTTAAACCCTCGAAGCTGCTCTGAAAGCATTGCATTAAGTGGAACTTTGATTTTGGTTAATGGTGTTTGAAAATAATTTACTTTGAATAATGTGGAGAGGAAAAAATATACATAAGAACCCACCAAGCACATTGTTAAACAATGGAGAAAAAGCCCTGGTAGGATGTGTGGAGTGGGACGATCAGCTAAACAAATGTCTGGAGAGGAGGCGGCATGCTTTTTGTGGGGCCCAAACGTTTTTTAATATAGTAACAGACAATCGTAGTTCAAGCCCAGAACATATTGATATAAAAATTTGAAATTGCCTCCACAGCTTTTTTTAAACTGGAAGGGTGTCTGAATGCAGACGGCCAGTGATGAGATAATAATAATAATAAACAACTGACCGTTAATCTCCGTGTATCGTTCCTTTATGCATTAGCCATGCAGCTACGGTTAGCCGTGTACTTCGATGCCCCCCCCTTCCTCCTCTCCTGTCCACTCGCTCCTCTGCTTCCCAACCGCTTGGTGCTTCGCAGGTCAGCCTCGCGTCTGGGCCGCTATCCACATCTGAAATCTTCACTCGCCGCGCCCCCAGAGACACTCTGCTCTTATTTAATCATTTCCTCCTGCTCCAACTGTGACAGGAATCCTTCATTTTGCCGGTTCTGCATGGCGGCGCTGCTGTTTTCAGCAGCGGTCCGAGACCGAGCTCGCGCAGTTGGGGAAGACCCAAGTGGCGTTCGGAGGCCCGTGAAGTGTGCAATGAGCAGTTAGTTGCCAGCTGCATGCCGGTCCGCCGGGCTTCACAGTGTAGTGGGCTTCACTGATGTGAGGTTTAACACAAACATAGAAACATAGACATGCCGATGAAAATGGAGGGGGGGGGGGAAGTAAACCTGAGATCTCTTTATATCCATCTTGTGTTGTATTTTTTAATCACGCCTGGGTTCATTTTTCTTATTTTCAGCCTTAAATGAGTGCGTAGTTCGTAACACTTGTTTGCTTCAGAACTTCACAGTGAAAGCATAACCTTCATTTTAACTCTTGAATGATTCGCTGAATCATGCTAGAATTTCAAGTATTAGACCTTTTATTATTTGGATTCTTGCAATCCTCTTCCGTCTCCCGCACAGCAAAGGACGGAAAGAAGGAGCACAGATAAGTGCTTGGTTCATGTGATTTTTTTTTAAACTTTGTTATTGTCTTAAAGGATCACTTTTAATTTTTGGTATGATTTCCCCAATGCTTTTTTTTTTTTTTAAACCCATGCACACACCATTCACTTTCGTTCACTTAGGTGACCGTGAGCACCACGTCTGCTTTTGGCGTTTGTTGCGTGGCAGAGCAGACGTCTCAGTGAACCGCATGAGCGTGCAACAGTGACATGAGCTTTGACAACAATTGAAGGAGACGCGTGCTCCACTGTGATCGATTGCCTAAATCAAGCGAGAATCTAAAAATGTCTTTCACACCACAGCGAGGGGACAGGACACATTGACAGGACACATAGGAGTTGAATGACAGACGGCCCAAACCTTTGACCCTTAACTTACCTGTCTGTGTATTGTTGTTATTATTGTTCGACCATTCTGCGAACGGCGACTTATCCTCCACCCACTGTTCTCCATCTCCAGGAATACGGAGCTCATACGCCAGTCAACACAGCCAGCTTGGCGCGGACATGAGGTCGGCCATGTCCCCGGACCGCCACATTGCTCCAATCTACGAGGATCGGGCGTTCCAGGGCCCATTGTACCGCAGCCCCAGCCACCCCCAGCAGGGCACCCTGTACAGAAGCACCTCAGGTCGGTCCTACGTTATTCGTTATGTTTGTTCTTCTCCAATAACATTTTCCTTTCAAGCGGACCCCTCTTTGCATTCAGAGCACTTTCTTGCTCCTATCGAGTAAGGACGTACATTTTTTTCCCTTCATATCGTCTTTTTCCTCTTAATCCGCAGGCCCCTCGACGCTGCGTTTTTTCCCCCCTCCTTCGGGGAACGCCGCGTCTGGGTCCATCTGCTCTTTAGCTCTACCTCCGTTTTTTTCCGCGCTTCCTTTTCTGTCACGCACACTCTGTTTTTCTCTCGCGTCATCGCTCTCTCCTTCCCCTGCCTCCCTTCTGTTCCTCCCTCCACTGTCAGCAGAGAGGGGTGAGACGCGAGTTAACAGGCAGGTACTGATATATGTCATCCGGACACAAAGGAGTCCATTACACCGCGTGTCACACTGAGAATGAAAGGGAGGAAGAATGGCGGGGCGGTTTGGATACCCCGCCGCCTGCTTTCCTCGCGGTCTCCTGATGTTGGCATTCTCGCCTCATCATCCCTTCCCGCCTCCGATACACATGCTCAGTCCGCAGCGCACGCGGGAGATCTGCTAAGACCGATAAGTTTGCTAATAAATGTTATTGATGCTGCTCGAGGAGGCCTCCCGCCCCCCCCCAGGCAGGTCCACTATAATGCGTTTGTGCCGCCTATGTGGAGGAAAGGCGGGTGGGGCGGATCTGGAGGGCTCGTGCAAAACGGAGTCTTTGTGAGAGCTACCTCATTAGAAAAATCCAATTTGATCCGAGTGTTTTCTTTGTTATGTTGTGAAATGAAATTTCACTGTGCTAACCCCTCCCCAACCACCCACCGCCTTTCCATTCATTCTTTGACCCTTTCTCTGGAAGCTTGCACATTTCTTTTTTTTTGTAAAGTAGAGATATTGATCCCCAGCTGAAAAGATGAGAAATGTGACCCTAAATAGCTGCGGCAAAATTGCATCGCTCCGCTATTTTGTTTACAATAATTTGCCCTTCGGTGTCTTTGGCTCTATTTTTGGGAGGCGACCATATTGCAGGGAGGTGCTGCCGCCCAACATAGAAGTGCAGTGATGTGAGAAATTGTCTTTCTGGCGACGTTTCCACTCGCCGGTGGAAACGTCTTGCTCTCTGGTAGGAGGGAGCGGAAGCGCGGGCGCTTGCCCCCGGTCCTGCTGGCACCCTGATAGCGATCTGACCAGCGCGGCAGTCACGCTGCCACGCGTCACGTGGCTCCGCTGGGGAGGAGGGGGTCAATACAACCAGCTTGTTTACGCGGTTCGTGTGTTTTTGACCCATTGTGCTTTAAAAAGTAGGTCACAACACGACTCGGAGCGACTGGAAAGAGAAACTGGACTACAGTTGAATATTGGACCTGGTCTGGAAGGATGTCTTGTCTGACTGTTTTGGAGCTGGTCATGCTGCACCGTTGCCTCTTTGTTACGTTCGACAAAGAACACAGTGGCACAAAGGAGCGAGAAGATGTTGAGGAAAGGATTTCTTCCTTTAGTTGAGTCCTCCCGTCCTCCTCGGAAAACCAGCGGGATCCCTTTTTGTTTGAACCCAATCTTGTAAAAGCAAAACAACATGCAGGGCTTCTTGAAGATGAAGACTTCTGCTTGGTGGAGCCGTGGGAGTTGTGTTTTATCCTCGTCATTAATTGGTTCCAGATTTTAGAAGTTGCTGAGTCTGACGGAGCGGCCCCATGTTTTTATTTTCAGCTCGGTCTGAAGTGGCGTGAGCAGGTTTGAACGCTGCTAATCCCCACTAAAGTGGCTTTGCCGGCTCACATCTCTCTTTCCATTTTAAACTTTGTCTCATCCTTTTTATTTTATTTTTTCGGGGGCCCTCAGGTGTGGGGAGTCTGCAGCGAACGCCCAGCCAGCGCAGTGCTATGATCTACCAAAGAAACAACTACGCTCTTAACGCAGCAGCCAACTACGCCGACCTGTACCGCTCGGCACAGTACCGGCACGCTGACCCCAACTACGCCCGCCAGGGTCCCGCCGTGGATGACGGTGCCAACCGCTCGCCCTCCATAGACAGCATTCAGAAGGATCCCAGGTGAGTGCCGCTCACACTTTAGCGCAGTGCCGCGTTTCCTCGACCGCAGGAAGCGGTCAAACCGGAGGGGGCGACGAATGCTTACGAGGCAGCGGCGTTCTGCCGGAGCCAATGCCGGTGTCGTCTTTCTATTCAAACAGGGAGCCCCGCGGGTCGGTCACATGCAGCTCCGCTGTGCTTGGCCTCTCAACAATAGACTCACACATGCGGCGAAGTGCTGCGTCGGCTCCTGCGGTCCACACGGAGCGGGGTTGACCTCCGCAGTAAACCCCTCACCACCCGACCCGGGAGCTTTTTTTACACGCGTGTGCGTTGCTTTGGTGCAACTATGGTGAAGACTTGAAGAGTGTGCACAATGGGGGGGAGTGAGGGGGGAGAGAGGTCTGGTCTGTTCAGGGTGTTTTTCAACTTTGTGCTTTGAGTTAATCCAAAACTGAAACCCTTCAGCTTGGGTTCTTGCTGCACGTAACTTACATATTTACTGTATGTAAAAGACAGATTTCCATTTGGACAAGTTAACATGCCAGAAGTTTTTTTGATTGATTTCACAGAAATGGTTCTCGAGTATATTTCAATAGCAGTCTGGAAGCGACGCATTCCTCACTTCATTCTTCAGTGTGCCGCATTCACAGAAGCAGCGAGTGTGACCAAAGGGGATTGTGATATAGGACCGGAAGGGAATGTAATTTCCTTTTCTTATTAGTTTGCCCCCAGGCGCTCAACTATTCATTTTGATCAAACCTGTGGCTCCGTCTTTAAAAGGGGAAACTGAATTTCTTCCTCGTGTCGTTTACCCTTTGCACCCGTCCTGTGAATCTAGGGAGTTTGCTTGGCGTGACCCAGAGCTGACGGAGGTGATTCACATGCTGCAGCACCACTTCCCCTCCGTGCAGGCCAACGCAGCCGCCTACCTGCAGCATCTGTGCTTTGGAGAAAATCGGGTGAAGTCTGAGGTAGGTGTCGTTCCACCAATACCGTACTGCGTCTTATCATAAGGATTCTTTTCTGATGAAGTCATTATTGAAGTGAGACAATGTCATCCTATTTAATAGCACCGATGACCGAGCTACAAAAGATAATAACTCATGTTGTCAGTTCATAAGTGTTGGATCATTTTGTATAGTCACAAAGCCGACTCTGGTGACCTTTCTGTATGTTTCGAAGGACATTTTTCAACTTGTCACAACCCTGGATGGACTGCTCAGACACCGGTGTCCCCCTACTGATGAATTGTAATGTCTTAAGTGACCCTTTGAACGTTAGTAACCACAACCCAGCAGACCCTTCAGGCAGACAGTATCCACGGGAGAATCACACACTGCTCGCTCAGGACATGAACCCATGAGACAGCGCAACAGTTGACTTTGAACACACACACACACACGCGCGCAGGAATCCGTCTCTCCGCCCGCTTTCCACTCAAAAACTGAAAGGTCGATTTTGTCATTCTCGGCGTAATGCTGTAAGAGGAATAAGACATCAAAGATGAAGGATGTATTTTTTTTATCGTAGAATGCCAAATGCCACCATATCACAAAATGATTCATGCTATAGAAATGAAAAGATGGAAAGATGAAGCAGTCCTTTTGATAGAACATTTCTTTCTTTTCACATGACGAAAATGTTAATTTAGTCCTCAAAGTCAAATAATGTGTTTCACAGTATGATTGTATCCCCTGTGTAGATGCTCTTATCGCATGAATAAATGCATGATGTTGCTCTTTGCGTACATAAGATGAGAACAAAAAGCTCCTCGTGGTCAGAATGTTTTTTGTGGCATTTTTTTCACTCGCTTCGTCCACAGGTGTGTCGGCTGGGAGGAGTGAAACACCTGGTGGACCTGCTGGACCACAAGGTCCTCGAGGTCCAGAAGAACTCTTGTGGCGCCCTGAGGAACCTGGTCTATGGGAAAGCCATGGACGAGAACAAGGTCGCTGTGAGGAACGCGGGAGGAATCCCAGCTCTGCTCCGCCTGCTGAGAAAGACTGTGGACGCAGAAGTGAGGGAGCTTGTCTCAGGTATGTCGGCCAAGGATGCATCTGCAGTTCAAAAACACCAAGGGAATCCTGGGAAACCCAAATATATCCGATCTACACTCATTTAAAACAGAGAAGGGGGATAAATAGTCACATTTATAAGGCTGGAACTAGACAATGCCACATGATTACTAACTAACTGAAAGCTGACATTTATTTTTTAATTATACAGCAATCAAATGACAACGTAAAAATGTGAGAGGAGGAGCTGGCGGTGATGAACCTTTGGATGAGTCTGCGACTCTCCTCGGCTTCACGGAGCCCTCCAGCATTAGACGCTGGTGTTTTGCGGTCACCTCTTGGAGGGAATTGGATCTCACGGGGGTTTAGCGCAGGGTTACAGGACGAGAACCTTGAAGATTCTGAATGATCTACTCCACAAAGCTGCTGGTGTTTTACCGCTGTGTGGGTCTGGTTGCTCCTGGTTACCAGGTGCGGAATGTCGCGGTCTACCATTCAATGTTGCTCTGTAGAGATTAGGTGTGAGTTTAAGAAACTACTTAACAGTTAAGCCGACTACTTACTTTAGTCTATCCAAAGATTGTAATCGTCGTAGTAACGCGTAGAGGCTTTTCCCTCGCCGCTGAGGTCACTGCTGCTCGTGTCGTGAATGATGAACCACATTTTCTCAGGCTGCCGGGCGGTTTTAGCTCCGTCCCCGTCTGAAAAGCAGCCTGCGACAGCCTGCTGGTCAGCCTCCTCCTCCTCTCTGCACTGCGCCGTGGACAGCTCGCTTGGGTTTGTGTGGCGTCCGAGCTCTGCAGGCAGAGGGTTTTAATCCGTGTTGTTCAGGTTCAGGGTGGAGCCCCACGGAAATAAGCAAGCCAAGACGTTCGGCTCCCGGGTGGCTGATGAGTCAGCGGCTCGGGCCCCCGCACTGTCGCGGTCTCGGGTGTCAGTCCGTCGGGCCCCCGAAGGAAAACAAAGCAGCCCGAGCACAGACGCAGCAACAGACGTGCAGCGGTTTCCTCCGGTCTGGGAAGATACACATCCAAGGATGAACCGTTTTGAAAAAAGAGCACAAGTGCATTTGTCTGCTAATTGGTCAATCGTTTAATTAAGGACACGGGATTCAATGCCTCATATCCAACAAAACGTCTTCCCCTCAATCCCTTCGTTGTGAGCTCGGTTTTACCCAGCCTGAGTCTGCTGCAGCTCCTCGTGGTTCAGGCCCCAGGATGGGGAGCAATTAGAAAAGGTCAGATGTGCTGCATCACCTCTGCTTAATTACGGCTGATGAGAACAATCCACATTAAGAGCTTTCAGCGGGATGACGGGTGCATCCCACAGCCAAGCGGAGGAGGGAGAAATCACCCAGCGGCAGCTCATCTCTACTTATTACGCACTCTCTTTATAGTGCTGCATATACAGGAAGCAGCATTGGTGTCAGAACTTAGCTGTAGAAGGTCCTGCCTGTGTCTCAGTGGCTCCCACTCGTCCCCCCCCACCACCCCCTTCAGGGAAGTCCAGGTGTCACCTGTGCTTCATTAAAAGTAGCTTCAAGAAAGCAGGCCAACCCTCCCGCTCCGAGTCAGGGGTCATGTTTTGGGGGGGACACACAAAGGGGACAGTACCTGCCCGTGCCCCCCCCCCCCCCCCCCCGCCCCCCCAGCATCTGTTGTGGTTATTGCTCCGTCCTTTCAGAGCCGCTCAGATCAAAGGGCCAAAAGCAAACTGCACTGTCATTAGCTCGGATACCTGAAACCAGCAAGCGCACACAAAAAGCTCTGCTTTCTTACCCTTTGTATTGCCTGGCTCCGTTATTTGGGAACTACACTCTGGATCTTGCTTTTGTTGGGTTTAAGCTTTTGAGAGTCTTGTGCACACGTGGTACAACTGAGTGTATTTAACGGTAATTCTTTGTTATTGCAGGAAAAAGATTTTATCAAATAAACAAGCGGCAGTTATTTAGAAAAAATTCTAAGTTCAGTTTAAAGTAGAACTTTTAACAGTTGAACTGTTTTTATATTTGTAAGTTTATCAAACTAAGCTACTTTTGAAAAGTTGAACTTCTTCCACGTTCCTCATAGTTGAATAGTTGCCCAGTGTTGGCATTGATTGCTGTGTTGCTTTGATTTGACAACAAACAATGGAGGAGGTCAGGATCTTTTGATCAAAATGAAAAACGAATTGAGAAACTGAATTTGATCCAGAAATAGATCCACTTCTGGCCACAGGCAGCGTTGCACTGACTTCCGCAGCTTTAGGGAGAAAATGAAAATAACGCCCACCAACCTCAAAAGAACACAGCGAGCGGCTCTCCTGAGGTTTAATCAATGCAGCATCGACAAGTTTGCAGTCCGGCTCCCGAAAAAACGTAAAGGTTAATACATTTGTCCGTTTTCTGTTTTTTTGGAACGATCAGCAGCTTTTCGCCGACCGAACTAAATGCTGACCGGGTTAATCCACCAGAGAGAGTCGATGACGCGCTGACCCCCGCGGTTAGAGAGACACGCATCAAAGGAGCACTCAGGAAGTCAGGAATGTTTGGGAATCAACCAACCGTGTGTCTCGCAGCCTCAACGTGGTATCTCCACGTTTTAGTTTCCCAGTGACATGTAAATGAAACCAGCTTTAAATACCGATGCAGATAGCTGCGATAATTTGATAATGTGTCCTATTCCCCATCTTTCCTTTCAGCAGCAACACAGCCCTTTGACCACGGTTAACTAAATGAAACCCTTCCTGGCCATTTAATTCCTAATCAATAATCTTTTGACCATTTTCCTCTGCGCATGGCATCGAAGCCCCAGAATCCGCCGCAGCCGAGCTGCCTCAACTCGAGGGGGGTGTCGGCCTTCAGTTACCTCCGGGATCAACGCTGCAAACAGCTGTGAGACATATTCCGACCAGCTTCGTATTTATTTTCTCTGTTTCCGCCGTCCCCTCCTCCTGCTCTCTGGTGTCACCGCGACAGCGTTTACATCGGGTCGCTGTTCCAAAGCCCGGGCCGAGGCACCGGAGACCACGAGCACACACTGCCAGGCAGATCTGCTCCATCCGACTGCCCGATATGACTCTGTGCCGCTGGTGTCACACCTCTGTCTCCAGCATGCCTCCGCCCCCGCAGGACGCGGCCTGGAGTCCAGCGGAGAAGGTTCCATCTCTGGGAATGGACACGGGCCCGCGCGCGGAGGGACTCGAGTGGGGTCGTGGAGTTGAGGGTTGTTCGCCGGGCGTGGGAAACGCTGTGTTATCACCGTTTTCGGGGCATTCCTCGGGTATCGCAGTGCCCCGTGAGAAAGGCAAACACGGCACTGAGTGCGCTTGCACGAGGAGCCGGGCTCTATCGCCACAGTGGGATTTCATTGAAATGGACCCGGCCAGCCTGGGTAGGGTGGAGATGGTGGCCCCATCTGATGCGAGGGCTTTGGTACACACACACATAAACACACTGCTGGCAAGCTCCGATAAGATGCACATGCTGCATGCTTTCTTTTCGAGAGCTTGGCATTCACTAATCCCCTGTTTTTGATTTGATATTTCAAAATTTTAAAAAATGAAATAATATATTCTCACTCATATCTTCAAATGTTTCTTTAAAGCACTTTGATGTTGTATTAAGGAAATGGCTGTTGATTAAATGGACGGCGTAAACGCTGCTTGGCAGAGACATTTCTGTCTATACAGCTTCTTGCCAGCAGTGCGTCGGAATTAGGCTCTTGGGCAATATTATAGACTATTATCGTCTCCGTTGGTTCAATTATAAAGAGGGAGAGCTGAAGAAATAAAAAGTCGGGAAAGCGTACTTGAAATCCGGGTTCAGATAGTTCAGCCTTAAAAGCTTGCACTGGTCTGTAGATCATGTACTTTGTTCTGCACTTACAAACCAAGGTCGAGTTGATGTCCAAAAGCACTAGCGAAATTGTACATGGAGTGACCACTAACACACGTGCACTCTGCAGTTTTGTTGCACCAGCATTTTGGGGAAATATCAGCATCCGCCTCCTCCCAGGCTGCCGGTGCCCTGCACATGTCAGCGTGGGCCTGAGCATAAGCCTGGCAGCAAGAGGCGTCTAATTACAAGAACATGCTACATGCTGGCTAATCCTTGACACACGCGGCATCAAAGGCTGCCGGGGCTGTGCAGAATTATCAGCAAATTGAATTGAGAGAATCCTTCAAATTACGGATCGTTTTTTCCCGTTTCAAACAAATACTCTCAGCCCGAGGATATTCTTCCAAGATGAAGTATGATTTGAATATCTCACGCCTTGATGCTGTTCTTTCCATTTCTCCCTTTCGGCATGTGATTCCGTGCTGGTGGACACACTGATCTGTTAGAAGCCCAAGTCGTGGCTCTCTGAGGGTTCACCCTACCTGCACACGACAGCTGACGTAACGGGAGGTTTTTCAACGGCTCCTTTTGTTTGCTGCGTCCTCCTCAGGTGTGCTGTGGAACCTGTCGTCATGTGACGCCATCAAGATGACAATCATCCGGGACGCCTTAACGACCCTCACCAACACTGTGATCATCCCTCACTCCGGATGGAGCAGCTCCACCTTCGACGACGACCACAAGCTGAAGTTCCACTCCTCCCTGGTGCTGAGGAACACCTCGGGCTGTCTGAGGTAAACCACCTGATGAGCACACTGGGCGCTAGCACCCCCGCGTGGACGACAGACGCTACTACGCCTAGTGGGGGAATGAGCTCATGATGTGGTTCTTCTTTAAAAGGGTCTCTGAATGTCGTCTTTGAAGATAATATAATACTGAAGCGTACCCAAAAACACAAAACAACATTTTAAATCTATTTTAGAGCCAGAGTAACGTTTGTAAACAACGTCAGAAGAAAACTGCCCAAAGTCTTATTTTGAATGTTTTAGTCAAATAGCTATGACCTTTCATTTCTCTGTCTCAAAGTCATCATCGTTTCATAGACTATTTCAGGCAATTATGTTATATTACAAGCTTTCCTCCCGGGGAGGGGGGGGGGTAGTATTCCTTTGAAGAGTGTGGTGCATGTAGAGTTTAGCCTTTAATTAGTCAAAGCTACTTGTGTGTGTGGGTGTGTGTTTGCATCTAGAGAGTTTCTTTATTTACTCAGCAAAGTGCTATAACGACTTCAGTCAGACCACACAGACACTTCATGCATTATGGATGGTGCACACATTCACACACACACACACACACTGCATTTGCATACGCTCAACTGTTTGTTGAGTGAAGTACGAAATCAACGGCCCGATATATTCCTTTGTGTGTGCTGTGATGTGCTTTTCTAAAGGAACCTGAGTTCAGCCGGTGAGGAGGCCAGAAAACAAATGCGCGTTTGTGACGGCCTGGTCGACTCGCTGCTCTACGTCATCAAAGCGTGTGTGAACGCCTCCGACTTCGACAGTAAAGTACGCACTAAAGCACACTTGCATGCGCACACACACACACACACACACGCGCGCCAACTATTTCATGTCATTCCCCATGCTGCAAACATCTTCATAGGGCAGATCTCTCAGACGCTCAGTCGAGTGGCTCATCTGCAAAGGTAATGAGGCCCCTTAATTTGGTCAAACGTGCACGATCGTAGACATTCTGTGAGGCGAAGCCCGTACAGGACTCAAACAGCGTGGAGTACAATCCATTAGCTCTGGTCCAGATAATCTTCAAAAATTGAGACCCTCGGATTCCTTAAACGGATTGATTTGTGACGCCGCAGATTGCAGGCCGCTGCCCCACGCCAAGGCTGTCCGCAGCGTGACGTGCCGCACAGGGCTTACTATGTTGTAGCTTTTCGTCGCGGTGATTTAGACACTCTCGACCGTGACTCCTCGCCCAAACGCCTGCCCCCCCTCTGCCCCCGCCATCAGATTGTGGAGAACTGCGTTTGCACTCTGAGGAACCTGTCGTATCGTCTGGAGCTGGAGCTGCCACCGTCCCGACAGATAGGGGGGCAAGAGCTGGACGGCTTGCTGGCCAGCGAGTCGCCCAGCAAAGAGGTGGACTCCGGCTGCTGGGGCAGGAAGAAGAAGAAGAAGAGGAAGAGCTCGCAGGAGGACACGGTGAGTGCGGTGCTCCTGAATCGATCGCGCTGTGCAGTGCGTGTGTTGTTTGAAAAAGGTGTAAAAAAAAAAAAAAGGCCCGTGTTAGAGCCTGCACTCAAACCTGACCAAACGCCTTGATTGTTTGTTCTAGTGGGACGGCGTCGGGCCCATCCCCGGCTTCTCCAAGTCCCCCAAGGGGGCGGAGATGTTATGGCACCCTTCGGTGGTCAAACCCTACCTGACTCTGCTGGCTGAGAGCTCAAATCCCGCCACTCTGGAGGGCGCCGCTGGGTCCCTCCAGAACCTGTCAGCTGGCAACTGGAAGGTACGGTGATGTTTGTGTATCCGTGTGCACGTAAACAAACTCACACATTCTCCAGGGGACTATTTATTCAACCATCTACCCCCCCGCCCAAAAAATATATATATAAATCAACTGCGTCAGCCGTAGCAGAGGCTGCTCGGACCCTTTTGGAGGTTTAACGCCTTTTGTGCGTTCAGTTTGCGGCATACATCCGTGCGGCAGTGCGCAAGGAGAAGGGACTGCCCATCCTGGTGGAGCTGCTGCGGATGGATAACGACAGGGTGGTGAGCTCGGTGGCCACCGCTCTGAGAAACATGGCGCTGGATGTCAGGAACAAGGAGCTCATAGGTGAGTCACACGTGCGTATTGCTTCTGATGAGACAAAATGTGAAGATTCGTTATGCTGCTCTTCTTACCCTGACTTTGTTTAAGTTGTGTTTTTAAACAAGTCAGGCTACGTTTATAGTACACAAACATGTTCATTTGCAAGACAAATACTTTTTTTCTGATTGCTCACTATAGAAATATGTAGGGAGATATATACATCAATTAAGCTGAAACTGAATGGGCATTCATATGGGCGCATTACATCATAAACAACACCTTTTTGTGTAATTTTGGTAAATTTAGAAACAGAACTAGTGCATTTGTGAGCATTTCGACTACTGCTTATCATTTTTCATTTCATCTCACATCCCATTTTTTCAATATTCTCTCTATGTGGAATTAATGAGGAGATACAGTTCCAGCAATGCAGGGGTGACGCCTGGCAGATAAGGGAGGAGTTGCAGTGTAGAGTTGCAGTGTGTGTGTGTGTGTGTGTGTGTGTGAGAGAGAGAGAGTTAATGCTGCATGTGCTCAGGTCCTTCAGCTCTGCTGCTCTGCTGAAGGAGAGATATAGGAAACACTGGGATGCCCACACAGTGACGCCCTTGTGATAATAACGCAATGTCATTGGGGAAAACCGCCTACCTCATCGCAATTAATACACCGTTTGGATTTCAAGCCTAAGAAATTGTTTAAGTCACCGTGGCAGTTCCTTCACTTCTGCATGATTTAGCATAGAGGGGTGAATGCAACAAAGTCTGTGTGTCCTCTTCTCTCCGTGCATAAGCTTCTGCATGCGCCGCAGTGAGCTAGCTGCATGTCTCACCTCCTCCTCCCCCTCACAGGAAAGTATGCGATGAGGGACCTGGTCAATCGTCTCTCGGGGGGCAGCACCACGCTGCTGTCCGACGAGACGGTGGCGGCCATCTGTTGCACCCTGCACGAGGTCACCAGCAAGAACATGGAGAACGCCAAGGCCTTGGCCGACACGGGGGGCATCGAGAAGCTGGTCAACATCACCAAGGGCAGAGGAGACAGGTGGGCTCCAGCAGCACGTATTTGTCCCGACGCGTTGGGGTTGAGGGTGTCTGGTACACGCCCATGTAAACCTGGACTCTCCAACATGTGCACTGGAATACACAACGAGCCGCGTGTGACCGGTGGCAATGTCCTGGACATTTGACAGCCACACACACACACACACACCTACGCACACACACACACACATTTAAATGCACGTGGAAGGAGAGACCGTAGCCACAGGGAAGGTAGTGCTGTGCGCATCACGGCGTTACGCCCCTGCGGGAAAGTGTACCGGCAGCTATTTCTATCCCACTTTATGTCCCGTGAGGTTCCAGGGTTAAAAACCCACCGAGGCCACTCGCCTTCTATCACGCTGCCCTGTCATGTCTACAATGTGGTTATACTCAAAAGCACATGTTTGTGGGTGTGTGTGTGTGTTTTCTAGGTACTCCATGAAAGTGGTTAAAGCAGCTGCGCAGGTGCTGAACACACTGTGGCAGTACCGGGATCTGCGTACCATCTATAAGAAAGTAAGAACACTGGGGCCGAGGGGCCGTGGCGGTCCCGTTTGAACTTAAAGCAGTCAAATACATTTGCATTTTCTCAATTGATTCGTGATATATTCCTTCTGTGACCAAAAGACGGGGTGTTTTAAAGATACCACACAAGAATGCATTCGAACCACCGCTTTTCCTCCCTCTTCTCAACAGGATGGATGGAACCAAAACCATTTCCTCACTCCGGTATCCACACTTGAACGGGACAAGTTCAAGTCCCAGCCCACCCTCCCCACCAGCACCATTCAGATGTCCCCAGTCAACCACCCTGGTAGGCTCAAGTTTCCATTTGTACCGCGCCTGCCGGATGAAAATAAACTCCGCCAGTGAAACAGGAAAACCTCTGGAATTTATTGTTGAAATGTGTTTTTCCTCTTCACAGCTGCCAGTGCCACGTCGTCCCCCGCCATGCTGGGCATGAAAGAGCATAGAGACACTATCAGAGACTACCACAGAGAACCGTCAACTATGCAATTTTATAATTACCAAGGGGACAACACTATCCATAAAAACCAGTATACAGGTACTCAAGCCATGCACACATCTGAAAGCTATTGAAAGTTTACATATTAGTGGTCTTCATTCTGTGCTAAAACGGTATCCACTTCCTGCACAAGACCGTAATCACAGGCCGCCCTCCGGGCCTCTCGGTGCGAGGCTTTTATCTACTTTATCCCTCGCTCCGCTCCGAGCGGATTCCTCCGGCCGCTCTCGTCTCCCTGCCAAACACTCTTTTTTTTTGTTTTGGCTCCCCTAAAGCCCGCCAGCCCCCCGAGACAGTAAAGTCAGTCATTTTAGCACTTCAGAGCGGCTCGTCCAGCGCAAGGACCCTCCACAGCGGGGCCGTTGTTGGCCGTCCTGAGTCGTGGCGTGCATACCGGGGGGCAGCGAGCGGGCACCCAGACATGTTACAGCCGGACGAGCAGCGGCAGGGAGGAGTAAACTAAATGTGCCGCTGCCTCAAACGGTCAGTTTGTTACGTAACGATAAGTTGAGTTTCCGGATGCCACCGGTTGGGTAAAAGTGCACAACAGACATACCCCTCTCAGGGGCTCTGCGAACAACAGAACTGCATTGGCCGAATGTATTATTTGTTTTAATTGCTCTGCGCAGCACAGCGCTTCTGTCTAAATACTGACGTCTGTCCTACGGGGATGTGCACACCGTTTCACTGATATGAAATGAAGTAACGAAGTGTATTTGTCCCACTGAATTGCTCTTGCTCTCATATACATATATATATCGCCCCCGCAGGGTCTGGAAAGCCTTCTCCATATTACTACTCATCCCCCACAAGAGAGGAGCCCAGGAGAACACAGGTGAATTGAATCATTCTGAATAAATGTTTGCTTGTGTTTTCTCTGCCATGGTTTAACCCTGCCATGTAAACTTTTTCCACAGTGCAAATTAGCTGTATTAACTTTTTAGGTTTAGTTTCTTTTGTGCAGAATATTTTTTTTGGCAACAACAAGCAGCGGCCTCCCGCAATGCATGTTGGTATAAACATGATTAGCAGCCGCTAATCAGTGCTGCATCAACAATATTTATATTTTGGTAGATTAAGTTGTATCAAAAACGACAAATTAAAGCGTTGCAGTAAGGCTTATTTTTATTATTGTTATCTGTAGTTTTTTTTCTCAATTAACCAATCAGCTATTTAAACAGTCTAAATATGCAATCAATCGCCAATAGTTTACGCAGCAGAAAAATGAGCTTGTAGAGAGAGAGCTTAACAATGTTGGTTGATAAATGAATCGAAGCAGTTTAAACACGTTTCCCTCCAGGAAGTGTTTGATGGTAATAGCAAAAGGCCGCTGTTTGAAATCCCTCCACCGAGCTGCATAAACCTGGCGAGGGCCACCGGCTCTTCCGCCCCAGCGGCCCGACACAAAGAGACTGACGCGCATTAAGCCGCGGATAAATGCCGACGTGGGGAATGACCCAGCGCATCAGCTATTGTCTGAGCGAGAGCGACTGTGACTGCTGTGATCGGGGCGGTCCGGGCGCGTCTCAGGCGCCTGTCACTGCGCCACACGTCCGTGTGTGCACGCTCAGACAAACAGCCACGGTGGGAAGGAGGCCGGAGGGAGGAGATGTCTGAGACGAGAGAGAGTTCCCTCGCGTCCTTCACATTTAGCCCAGTTAATGTCGTCGCCTCATTTATTTCAGAGAAATCCCTTTTATATGCATTTTTTATCATGAAAGCCTTGGCAGACAAAGCCAGACCAGAGGGCTTTTGGGTAAAACTGCAGCAACGTTCTTTTATTACCAACGCGTGGACTAATGGGACAAGAATGCTCAATATCAGCTTGGTGAACGGTTCACAGGGAGACTGACATCAGCTAGATTAGATCCCACCCCATCCGTTTCCCTGTGAATATCTCGTCAGGGCCATTTTTAGTCTTCTAAAACTCCGGCCAATGACATAAAAAGCTGCAGGGAATAAAAAATGGCTTTTAACCGCGATTGCTGTAAATGAGAAATTTGTTCTGCCGGGACCTCAGCGGATTTCAGTGACTCCCCCGCCCCTCTTACCTGCCTCTTGTCCTTTCAGCCTGTGTATTATTCGGAGGAGGCGAGCAGGAGGAACTACGACACGTACAGAATGTACCCGCAGCATCCCCGCGGCTACGACGACCCGTACTTGGAGGAGGTGGTCGGCTACCCGCCCGTCGCCGCCGACTACGGCTCCCAGCCTCACGGGCTGAAATCCGCCACCAACTACGTGGACTTTTACGCGAGCACACAGAGGCCTTCCTACAGGGCGGGGGAGCAGTACCCCGGCTCCCCTGACTCCTGGGTATAGGTCTGAGGGGCGTCACCCCCCCTCCCCTCGACCTCCCCCCGCGGCGGAGCCCGGGAAGCCCACAAGGGCCGTAAAAAAAAAACGTTTTCATGGACTTTTTCCTCATAAGTGTTTTTCAAAGTGAATGTGTGGAGGTGGAGTTCAGCTGAGCGATGGCAGATGGAGAGACGGAATGTTTGCCAAAGAAGGAAATCAAGGAATGTTCTTTTTAAGTTATCTGTTATTAAGCGGAGGAAGGTGGAATCATGCTGTCGGGGGACGACACCCTGCACCGCGCGCGGCGAGGAGACGCGCGTCCTGTCTAGACGTTAAGTTTTATCGTCTTTGTGAACGTCGTAGCTGTGATAGCATGCTGAGAGGTGTGAGTGACGTGAGCGAGGGTCCGCGGTAAGAGTGAAGGTCGGGGAATGTGTATGTGCTGAGGCCAAAATGGATCATGAAATCATATCTGTTTAAAAAAAAACACACACAGGATATAAACAAACTAAAATAGAACACTAATGATGTTAGATTGTACAGAGGGATAAAATTGTATCTGTACTTAATGTTGAAGCTGTGTAATGCCATGAAGTCTTGTACATTTCTTTCATTTTATTGTAAATACAGAAAAAAACGACATGTTACCTGGTTTACACTCATTAGCACTGGTTAAAAAAATAAACTTGTGCCATGTTAAATCTATGGATATATAAACATATGAACAAATATGTGGACATGACACAATCGTGCTAAAAATAATAAAAGGTCATTTTTGTTTTTTAAAGCTGTTGCGCAGTTGCATCTTTCCTCAAGTACAGCGCAAACATAAGAAAAACAAAGGAGGATCCCAGCTGTTTTGGACACTTTGTTCTCTGTTCATTGCGTCCATTGTATTCATACAAACAGTGGAAACATGCTTTCAATCAGCCGGCATGCGTTTCATTAAACTGTTTCCAGGTCCACATCAACATGCTATGTGAAAACTTTCACGACGCTTCATTCTGCCATCAGTGCATGTTTAGAACGTGAACTTTAAACTCAGCTCCTCATAAATAAGTTTAAGAGGATGACAAGAAAATAAAACCACAAACAGGAGGAGGAGACAAAATAGTTGGCAGCTCTCCCCTCTTGAGGTTCCTAGCAGGCAGCAGGAGTAATCACACCACACTTCCATCCAAACAACAACAAAATGGAACAGAGATGTGCGACTCCTCGGCCGTGGTTGTCTCATCTTTTACCTGCAAAATATTATTCTGGTCTCCTATTATCCCCTCACTGGTTAATATATTCAGCATTCTATGCCACCTGGTCTGAGTTTCGCTGAGGGATTACTGGCTTAAACAAACGGGCACATGAATTACCTGATGAAAGTCCTAAAGCCTTGGGGATTTTTGATAAGACAAGGCGTTTAAGATCAGATAACTTCTTTAAAGCCTATTGTGTCAGTTGATATTTCACTTCAGTGCTGCCTATTTCCAAACAAGTGGGTTAGCCATCAGCCAAACAGGCTTCCTGTAATACGGACTCAAATCGTGTGCTAATAGGACACAGAAAATGACTGATGTGTAGCTTGACGGTGCAGAAAAGGTATGTTTGTTTAGACAGAGCCGCGCCACTGACACACATCCACCAATTCATTAGCAGATTGCGAATCAGATGTGATTATTTGGAGGGGGGAATTACACACAGTGTTACACACCCAAAGGAGTGTTATTTGTGTTTGATTGGCATCCTTTTGACTCTCAAAGTTGACCCTTCAAAGGAAGGATAGTTTTTTTTAAAGAAGATACAACCTATAAACTAACCTACCCCAAGGATGGGTCGGTAATTCAGCCAAACTAACCGAATAAACCTGTGAATATGTTTTTTTAATCTATATATCAATGTTTACTTGCATTAGAAGGACATTCATGTGTATCTTAAAATATCTAAGAGCAGCAGATCGGTTTAACATGCATTTTAACACAAAAGAAAAAAAGATAATGTATCAGTATTTGGTGGTTTTATTTTATATGCTGTCTCCGTCCGAGAGCCCTCCAAACACTTGTTGATTGCAGTGATTCTTATTTCACAACATCCGGTGTTGTGGAGATTTTCAAAATAAAACGGCCATTCAAATAAAATTAAAAAAAGGGGTCACGGCTCACAATTACAATAACAAAGAAATACAATCGGTTTGCTGAGCCATTAACTGGACGTCGGTGATCACAACGAGACGTTGCATTGTGCGTCTTGTTGTGGTTTCGTTCGACTTCGCCCGCGCACAACAACATCGGTGACACGCGAAAATGGGCGTCTGTCTGACTGCGTGACGTCATCTCTGTTCGAGCATAAAAAACAACCGAGTGGGCGTCGAGAATAGTTTCGGCATTGTGCTTTCTTTGTGTTTACCCCGGAAAGTTTGTGAAAATGGTGCAGCAACTCCCCAAACCAGCAGCCAGGGAGGCTCCTCTGCTGAAGGCCGGTCATCCTCCCGCAGGTGAGAAGCGGCCGCGTGCGCGCACTTCGCGCGGAAGCGAGGGTTTTAAAGATGATTTTTTTTCTTCTTTTAAATCGTTCATTTTTTTTACTGCTCGCTACGCGTCCTGGGCGGAGACAGTCGTGTGAATTTTGACGCTTAATCCTGTAGTTACCTTTTTTAAATATTTTTTTTATTGCTGCGTAGGTTTGTTGCGGCGTGTGCAAAACAACGTTGCCTCGTGTGATCCGCTGATTTCTGTTGAATGCTCATTAGCCTCCATCGGGCTGCTTTTGTGCAGCCTGTTTTCTGCAGCAGGCCTCCTGTGGAAGTATCACAATGTCCGAAGCCTTCTAATAATACGCACGCTAACCGAGTTTTCAACCGAAATGGTCCATTTTTATTTTAGCATAGCTTTGTTTTGGTTGGCGGGCCGTACTTGTGCACGTAAACCGTATTACCCATGCCCCACCTTGAAGTGAGTCGTGGTTTTAATGTCAACTAATATTGCATTAGTTATCTGGTTGAATTGAAACCATGTTGTTTTGTTTATCTCCGCCCTCCCCCCCCCCCCTTCATCATCACAGCCTGGCGTGACGTCTGAGTCTTTAAAATCAAAGGGATTTGTTTCAGTTTCCACGATTAAGCCTAAAGAGGTTAACAAAAAGACATCTGAAATCTATATTGCTGCTTTTATTCCTCTTGTTACTCTAATTGACTCATAAGGTCCAGTTATTGTGTATTAATATCTGTACATTTTAATATATCCTTAAAATGTACTCCTTGCATAATATTTAAAATCTCCAAAAAGCGGGCTACAGAGCAGATTTTTTCTTTTCTCAGATGACTTTGCTTTAAATCCTTTTTTTCCCCTCTGGGTCGATAGTGAAAGCTGGAGGTAAACGGGTCGCCAAGAAAAACATGGAAGAGAGTGGCGCCCATGTGACTCCAGAGAAGGAGACCAAGCGGCCGGATAAAATAAGGTCTGTTGGAAGTGTTAATCTGTAAAATATAGTAAAGCAAAATAAATTTGTTGTCTCACACCATAAACGTATTGGAATTGGCTGCCGTCTTCTGCTCTAGCATTGAACTAAAAATGTGTGATGTTGCGGCAGGTCCGTCGCCACCTCCAGCAGGATGCAACAAGTTGGAATTCTGCTGTCCGGAACGCTCGACAAGGTAAAAACGAAGCCCATCAATTCCCACTGAGCAAACTGGAACGCTAAAGAGTGCCTCTCGTGCGACGGTGTCCTAATAAACTGCCGCTTGTTTGCAGCTGAGCCACGACTTCCCCGAGACGCCAGTCAGCGTTTGGCACAGCAAGTTGCGCCCTGCGGTGGAGAAGACCCACTCCCCCCGGACCTTCTCCATCCAGCAGCCGCGGAAGTTGTGTTGAACACATGTTGCAGAATCCCCCAAAGAGGGAGCAGTGTTGAGTCAACTGTGAAAGACGAAACATGAAGTGTGTTAGGCTCACGAGGGGACTGGCGGGTTGTGACAATGTTTATGGCTTTCATCGAGCTCTGTTTACTTTCTAGCTGCGCTTCTTTGTGAGAATACTATATAACCAGCATTGAATGTGTACTTTTCCTGGTATTGTAGGAGAAATGGTGTAGTTATTTTTCCCAGGTGGTGTTTTGGTATGTTTAATGTAAAGGGAGGGGCCTTTATTATGTGATGTTTCTGCGCCCCCCCCCCTCCCCCCAGTGACTTCTTCACTATGCATTGCTTGGCTCTTATTAGATTTGATTTAAAAAAAAAAAAAAAAAAAAGCTGAATAAATAGTTGCCTCACTGTTTGTGAACATGGATTAATCTGTTTGTGTAAATCTCCTTTTCCTAAAGTTTTTCTGTTGTTGCCATAAGCAACATTGACCACTAGATGGCGGTAAATTATCATTTATAACTAAAATATCAGGCTCTTATTTTAAAAACAAAAAATCAAGCATTCAATCTTTGCTTTTTCAAGTCTCTGTTCACTTCATACAAACTTCTGTGCATTGCATCAACTGGTCTAACAAGTGGCTCGGATGACTAAATCCTGACAATAGTCTTATTTCAGAATGTTCCATGTTTCTAAAGGAGCTATTTTAGTGTCAAACTTGAAACAAGGTTTCCATTGTGTTCAGTGATTTGCTGTTAAATGCTGTCAATCAAAGCACTCTGGGAATTTCCCATAAAGGCGAGCTTGGTCTTGTCATTTATCAAGGTTTACTTGAGGGCAAATGACTGACAATGTCTGCAAGATTAAAGCATTGTGCAGGCTGCGGCAAGCCTTCATGTGCATGAAACTTGCAGCCAGCCTAAAGTTTCTTTTTTGTGGAAGACCAAATGCAGCAACACAAGAACATAATGAAGATGCAAGCTGCTGAAAGTAACCAAAAACCACCCATCCAAAGATTTAACACTTTAAAAGCTGGTTTTCTTGTTAGCAGTTTGCAGGTCTACTGGACATTCAGAAACATTCAGGCAGAGTTTTGTATTCTGCAGGCAACATTTTTCCATTATATTTCGACTGGTCAGTTCCTTTCTATGATTCTATGTATCCCAGTACATAATGCTGCACTGATCCAGTTTACACAATACATTGAGCTTAATTTGATAAGTCATTGCATGACCCTCATCTTTACCGACACTAGATGTATTCAAGAAATACGTGTTGGAGAGACCATCTCCTCCAGGGCAGATCCCATTTGCAACACAATTTTCTGCACATTTCAAGTTTGATTAAACGTTCCTGCCTCATAGATGTGCGTTTTTGCAAATTTTCCATTTGTTAAACCTTTATGATTTGTTTAAAAAAATAAATGATCTCCCTTACTTTCGTTTAAAAGTCTAAAAGTAAAAGTTTAAATGTAAAATAAAATCTGCTCTGCACCACTGTACGTGGGACTTTTTACCTTGAAACTTTTCGAAATGCTGTACTTATGCGCACCCCGACACTACAGCCTGTGCTTCTGTCTCACTTATCACTTTGGAAATACAACAGCTATTCCAAATCCTAAATCCCCAAACCGGTTGTGTGTGTGTGTGTGTGTGTGTGTGTGTGTGTGTGTGTGTGTGTGTGTTTGTCTCTGTTGTCGCGTGTCACGCCGTCCATGTGTTCCCTCGCGACCTTCTCGTTCGCGTCACTGAGCCCACGAAACAATATCTGCTCGTTCATCAGCCGCGCGCGCCCCGACGTCGCGACCTTACATGCTCTGCGATGCTCACGCTGTTACACACTCGCCTTCTGCGCCATCTGTGCGTAAAGTTCAGAGCCCTCTCTGCGCACTGTTTGAGGAGTGGAGCAGTTGGTGGTCTCGTGAGACCAGACATGGCGCATGCCAGTGTCAGTGTCACTGCCCATTAGCTGACCCCCGTGACGGCCCACCACGCGTGATGACGTGGGAAGATGTGGTTTGCACGCCCGAGACGCGGTGGGACCTTTTATTTATTTTATAGTATGCAGGTTAACTTACTTATGCTGCATCGTGCCCAAGTAAAAGTAGAGAATTACAAGTTTTATCACATTTCCTCTTTGGTGCATGGGACAAATATTGAACGTGCAGCAAAGTGCGTAAAATGTTGTCACCTCATGGGGTCCCCATAGACTAAGATGTGCTGTGCGCGTCATTCAAAGGTTGATTCATTGTGTCAGAGAGGCACGTCATCTATTTGCACTTTTAAAGGTTTAAATTCATTAGATAGGGTTTTGTTTGTGGGGGGAAATATTGTATATTATGTATTATAAGCCTCTAAATAGAAATAACATTTGTTATTTGATGTAAGAAATGTGCTGATTGACACCAGAGAGATTCAGTAATACACACAAAGCTACTGAAGTGCATCCGGTTTCTATGAGGCTGATTATACATAAAAGCTTTGACTCATGTCTTAACCCATGCATCCTCTCCCAACAATGATGAAGTCATACAGATCATTGGATAAGGCGACCAGTGGAACTTGTCATTTCAAATATGGGTATCATTTAAATCAGTTACAATGCTTGGGTTGATTACTTTAGAGCATAATGAAAAGACTCCTTTATAAGTCTTGTAGAGTAGAGAAGTATCAGCAATAAGCACACGCAGTGCTGAATTTCACACATCAGGGTGGGCGGGTAAGCATAAGCAATAGTGAAAGTGTTTCTTGTAAAGACTGGACCCATTCTGTGTGAAAAATCCTTGATGCAAAGCACCATTTTAATGTTGTAGCTGCGTGTGCAGGGCGGTGCAAAGTAGCAATGCATCATATTTAGTGAGCCTCTTTAAAATGTTTGCATGTTTGCATATAATGATAATGAATGATGTGGAGTAAAAGTTATAATATGAACAAATGCAAAAAAATAAAGATGTGAAAAATCAGAAATGTGGGGCCATTTGACCTGATAAGGGATACAAACAACTGCACTAAAATGTCACAATTGTTAAAGTCTCACATCTACTCTGACATGAAGCTGTATACTGGTGAACAAGTACAGTATGAATAATGTTAAAAAAAAAACAGTTTACCAAAAGTCTTAATGTGGCTACACTCAGGTTTCAACATCAGCGTGGTAAACAGAAAAGGCATTCTTAATTAAAACCTGTAAAGCTAACACCTCAGTGAGGTGGGATCTCAGTATCACACAATTTGATTTAATGAATAGTACTTTCCTGATAGTTTCCTGGGCAAGAGGCAGCAACAACAATCGTGTAATCTGGTATTTATTAGAGACCTTCTGAGGCACTAGTTTGAATCGGACATGCTTTAGTTGTGTGGAGATTAAGAGCAGGAAATTCCCTGGGGAAAAAATCACCATAATGAGCAGCTAATTAAAAATAAATAAAATGGATAACCCAAGAGACCAAACTATTTATGTGACTTTTTGTTGTGAGGGATTGTGGGTGATTTCGAGGGTCAGCCCCTCCTGATGACCCCCCCCCCCACCCCCCCTTAAACTGGAAGCCTGGAGCAAAAAGTTACCCCCATCCGTTACCCTCATCTCGCATCGGGCATCCTGTCGTGGAGGAGGAGGAGGAGGAAGGAGGAAGGGTGGTTTGCTCATCTCGGTTCCCTGCCCTCCGGTGATGTGCCTCCCTCGCGGATGACGTCATGCCGGGAGGGGGCGGAGCTCCGGCGTCCCGCAGCCTACCTTGGTGGATCCAGTGGGGACTGAGTGTCGCGTGGAGATACTGCGGGAGACTCGGGAGAACTTTTCTTCGGGGTGGAGGACTTTAATACCCATGACATTTACCAGGTAAGACGCAATATTGAAAATGTTCTCAAGTTCGGCCGCGTTGGACCGACCTCGTGGTTCGGAAAAGTAACGTCGCAGAGTTGCTCCAGTCTGGAGTCTTTTTTTTGGGGGGGGGGGGACATTTTCCCCGGGAGGAATGTCGGGACATGTCCATTGAGACGCTGCTGCGGGAATGACAGCAATGTGTTTTATATTGCTACACATTCGGGTTTATTTCGGCCCGGGGCGTCACTTTTAACGTTAAACGCTGACGTTTTTCCTCAAGAATGGGAAAAGTTTCGAATAGGTGAAGAACAGTGAAATAACTGCTACGAAGAACACTTCGTGTGATGCAGAGCTGCGATTAACACTCCGTTACATCCTTTAAATGCCTTTCTTAAATATTGTTAACATGTAACCGTTGCTCTGAGGATTTAAAACAACTTGTGGGTGCGGATATCTAAGAACAGGTGAAGATCGACGCTCTGAATAGTATTATTGCGCAGTAGCATCCTGCTCAGTACATGCAGATCATTAACCAAAAGGTTAAAATACTTCTTTTTGTAGTTGTTTGATCAGAATGCCACCGTTGATGTGGTTTTCCAACCGGGACCCAGCCCACGTACAGTAGAGGCTTTAAGGCCACAGGGCTGTAATCTTGTCTGCCCACATGGATTGAGTCGTTGAAGCTTGACCACCGGCTGTAGATGATTTATGCTGCTTTCAGCGTATCTTCCACCGGATTAATCTCCTTACAACTCTTTGCAAAGTTCTTTTTTCATTCATTTTTAAAAAATCGCTTGTAAATGTCAACATGCAGTTTTGATCTGTGCGCGCAGGCTCAAATCATCGAATCAGTATTTTCCCTCAAAGTCGCTGTGACCTCTTGGCATTCTACCTGCCACATTAGCGGTTTCCTGTGTCGAGGTATTTGTCTCAGTCGAGCTTCAAGAGAGTGTCGATTGTTTTTTTCTCTGAATTTTACACTCAACAGGTGCAGCAGGCCTTGCCCCGGAGACGGCCGCTATTAACTTCCCAACATCATTTCAGGCAATTTCACGCTGATTGCAGAACCATTAGAAAGGATTTGCATGCCTCTGGGCCGAGGCCAGAGTTACCGCCATTGTCCACCAACTGCAGGGTTATGAGATGTTTGCACCACAGAGCACTCGTCTCATTGAAAGTGCCGCAAGGGTCTGCCTCCCAGTTTCTGCAGGGGTCTGGTTCCCATGGTCCCCAGCCAGTTGGCCAGTGGCAGATACTGGCATCGGAGTCGCATTGTCATGGCAGAGGAGCTGTCGGTTATTGGAGGCATTGACCCGACAGACAGCACATACTGAGCCGATGAGGAGGATTTAGCACTTTTGAAAAGGGGCTTCTCATGGCACTTTGTAAGCAGGAAGCAGGAAGCAGGAAAGCCAGAGTTTTAGATTTTGGTATCAAGTATTGTGAATATTGTGACGTGGGATCCTGTAGATTTAGGATTTCAGTCCACTTGGTATTAACTAAATCTTAGCTGCAACATTAGGCACAGATGCTGTCAAACGTCACTTGTATTGACTTGTTGGTTGGTTTATATGAAAAATCATTCAACTCTCTGACGTCTTGGGAT